AGGCGGATTTTCCGGGCGCGATCACACGGCAACATCTGGGAAGTGTAGTGCTCCCGTGGCTTCCCGCCGACGATGCGCGGTAAAAAACTAGTACCTCCAAGTGGGACCTTGGGGTTGCCAGGTCCCCTCGCCACGCTGGCAGGGGGATTTGTGGGGCATTCTGGGACATCACTGACATAATGGCATCACCCCGAAGTGATGTCATCACGTCAGCAATGCTCTGGTTTAAGGGTGCAAAACTCACGGTTTTAGACCAAATTTACCATAGAGTTTTGCCCTCAAACCAGAGCATCACATGCAACAGCCCTGATATGATGTCACTTCTGGGTGATGTCATTGCATTGGAGACGTCATGCCCGGGTGTGGCTGTTTGTGGGTGGGGATCCCCCCACTGGCCAGCTGGCTGGTGGTGGGCAGAAGCCCCAAAACGTGGGGCAACCCTAACTGGGGACCTGGGGCCTGGCAACCCTAGCTCACCTCCAGACTACAGAGATCAATTCCCCTGGAGAAAATGGACTCTTTGGAAGGTGGACTCTCTGGCATTGTACCCCACTGAGGTCCCTCCCCTTCCCAGGTTCCATCCTCAGATCTCCAGGGTTTCCCAGCCTGAACCTGGCAATCTATCCCCATCACCACCGGTGGCTGGGGATGGGGGGGGACCTGGCAACCCTAAATCCATCTCTGTTCAGTCTTCTGTTGGGGTTTTATAGAATCATAGAGTTGGAAGGGGCCATACAGACCATCTATTCCAACCCACTACGCAATGAAGGATCAGCCTAAAGCATCTCTGACATAGAAACCTTCTACATTTTCCTAGCATACATTCACCAGCTTTTTAATCATAAAATAAACAGATGAAGTCTTTCATTCTTATCAGAGATTGTCCTCCCTGCTTTGCTAGGGCAGGGTTTTTTTTAATCTAGTTGCAGAAAACTTCCCCACTGATTGGCCAATTTTTCCCTAAAACCTCCTCTGATGAGGTTGCAGTATATAAAACTAAATCTATTTCAGATTTCAAAACTGACCTAACTTTTGGACGCTCTACATTTCAGCATCTCTTATAGTTGAGAACCGCAGGAGTACATCTTAAGCATCTTAAGGATACTGAAATAGCCTCTTGCTTATTCAGATAGCAACTGACGATTTGCACTGGAAGATGATAACACTGAATGTCACTTGAGCAAACTAGCTATCAAGTGGAAGGCAAAAACTACCATTAAAAAAATCCTTTAGAACCTTTTAATTTTCCAAGACATGATGGGGAATTGAATTAATGTTAGCAAACATTCATTAACTGGGCTTCTGAACAACTCCTCTTCCTCATGTCAAAGTCGCTCAAAGTGTACTCTTCATCTGACAGATTATGTAAAGCTACATTGGGACAGCCACTTTCCTCCAATCAGCATGGATTGCACAGTCACCAAGACATGGGAATTAGGTACTGCTAGATAGTTTGAAGAGGAGCTGCTGTGGCTCAAGTGGTTAAGATCCTGAACTGCAGGCTGTGGAAGGTCAGTAGTTCAGCAGTTCGAGACCCGAGTGTGCCACATGACGGACTAAGCTCCCGTCTCTAGTTCCAACCGCATGACAGAGTAAGCTCCCGTCTTTAGTTCCAGCTCCTGCCAACCTAGCAGTTCGAAAGCAAGAAATTGCAAGTAGATAAATAGGTACCACTTCAGTGGGAAGGTAACAGCGTTCCATGCGCCTTGGTGTTTAGTCATGCTGGCCACATGATCACGGAAATGTCTTTGGACAGCGCCAGCTCTTCGGCTTTGAAACGGAGATGAGCACCGCAACCCTAGAGTCAGATTCAACGGGCTTTCGAGCAAGGGAACCTTTACCTTTTTTAAAAGATAGTCTGAAGGACCCCTCAAAATGATTGGCTTTGCAGCTTCCTGTTGGACCAGCCATGTCGAATCTGTTTTGTTCAGAGGATGAAAATCGACTCAGATTGGATCCATTTTGCAGTTCAGTGTAGATTTGTTTAGGTTGTGTTGTCTGTACATAAGTAGAATGTATGTCTCCATGTGTTGAAATTACACCTATATTTTGGATTTGGATCCCTGGGTTTAAAAAACAAAATCACGTACATCCAGACATTCACACCAACAACAGTTCCCTTGAATGTGGAACATTACCTGTGAAATGTCCTTAAGAACATAAGAAGAGCCCTGCTGGACCAGACCAATGTTCCATCTAGACCGCACAGTCATATGAGCATAGGAAGCTGCCTTATACGGAGTCAGACCCAAGATCGTTCTACTGACCTTTCTACTGCAACTGGGAGCATCTCAATGAGGTGTCAGATAGAGAAACATCTTTCTCGGCTTGCTACCTGAAGATCTTTTATTTATTTATTTATTTATTCAATTTGTATACCGCTCAATCCCAGAGGCTCTGAGCGGTTTACATAGGCATATTATACTTCCTCGCTAGGGCCACAATGTATATGGGGGAGGTGAGTGCCTACCAGGCAACCTGCCGGCTTGTTCTTTCTTCTTCCTGCGGCTTCGTGGTGGGTTCTATCTCGGCGCAGCTCCGCAGCAGCTCCTTCTGGGTTAGTTCCATAGTCCGCGAGTAGAGAAGCTGGGATGACTTGCATGCAAAGCTCTACCAGTGTGTTACGATCCCTCCCTGAATAAATGGATGATGTGGAAAAGCTATTTATTTATCTAAAATGTTTTTATGCCACATCATCTGATCAGGGCCCACAAGGTAGGAAACATAAAAACTTTATAACTTTTAAACAATTATAAATACAGATAGAATAATAACATTCAATGGAAAATACATAAATGAGCAACCCTAGAAAGAGGGCCAATAACCGTTGTTAGGGGTATGCCTGACGAAACAAAAAAGTCTTCACCTGCTGATGAAAGACACTAATAGAGGGAGACAGATGAATCGCCCTGGGGAGGGAGTTCCAAGGAGTTGGTGCCACGGCAGAGAAGGCCTTTTCTTGGGTTGCCACTCATCTAGCATCAGATGGTGAGGTAACCAAAGCAGGGTCTCCAAGGATGACCTGAACGAGGGGTAGCTTCATATGGGAGAAGGCAGTTCTTAAGGTATTTTGGTCTCAGGCCTTAGGGGGCTTTAAAGGTAAGTGAGCCAGTTTGGTGTAGTGGTTAAGTGTGCGAACTCTAATCTGGGAGAACTGGGTTTGATTCCCCACTCCTCCACTTGCAGCTGCTGGATGACCTTGGGCAAGCCATACTTCTGTCAGAGCTGTTCTTAAAAAAGCAGTTTCTGTCAGAGCTCTCTCAGCCTCACCTACCTCACAGGGTGTCTGTTGTGGGGAGGGGAAGGGAAAGGAGTTGGTAAGCAGCTCTGAGATTCCGAGTGAAGGGCGGGGTCTAAATCCAATCTCTTCTTCTTCTTCTTAAGTGCCAGCACTTTGAATTGAGCCCAGATGCAAATTGGAAGCCACTGTAGGTGGAACAAGACTGGAGTGATATGGTGCCCATGACCCCTCCAGTCAACACTCTGGCTGCACCAACTGTAGCTTCCAGACAGTCTTCAAGGGCAGCCCCACATAGAGCATATTGCAGTAATCTAATCTAGATGTTACCAGGGCATGTACCACAGTGGCAAGATCTGAAAAGCTAAAGATTGGTTCAAGCAAGTAGCCTCACTGGTGGTTCTGGTTGGAGCCACAGCCTTTTAGATTTTCCTGATGTACCATCTAAGCAGAGTTACACCCTTCTAAGCCCATTGACTTAATGGACTTAGAAGGTAGATCCAGGTCGGTAGCTGTGTTGGTCTGAAGCCATAGAACAAAGTTTGAGTCCAGTGGCACCTCTAAGACCAACAAAATTTTATTCAAGATATAAGCCTTTGTGTGCAAGCACATTAAAAGTGCCACTGGATTCAAACTCTGGACTTAGAAGGGTTAACTTTGCCTAGGGTGACTAAAAGAGAGCCCCATGACCTCACACAAATATCACTGGCTCTGCAGGACAGTTTTGAGATGTAGTATGTGTGTGTGTGCGTGTGTGTGTAAGACAGTGAGTAATGTGCCAGCACATTCCATCCAATAGTTGTCTTCTGATGGCTTCACTGTCTCATTGGTCCATGCCGCGTTCAGTGGCTTTATTTCTCCCACCCAGTCTGCACCAAAATACAGCTAGAAACATTTTGCAATAAATATCAATGGTAGCCATTGTTTAAAAGAAAGCAGTATTTTGCTCTCTGCTTTACTTTTCCATCATTCTGCCAAATTCCAGAGGGGTAGTTGTGTTAGCCTGCTGCAGCCAAAAATAATAAAAGTAGCCTCTTCAAGACAAACCAACATACTGCTTTGGTGAGCTGCAGTCCACTTCATCAGACACACGAGGATGCACTGGCCTGTCTTTGGTGGGCAAGGCTAATGCTATTAACGTTCAGCCCTGCCCTTCCCAAACTCTCAGCGGAGCAGTGCGGTCTTTATAGGATGCCCCTTGCCATGCGAGGAACACTTGAGTGGTCTCTTCTGTGCCTGTAGTGTTGTTGTTGTTTTACTCGCATGGATTTCCAGTAGCTAGCGATTATGGACTCCAAGGGCATCCAGCCTCCAATGTGCTGATAAAAAGGTATAAATAAATAATTGCAGTATAATGAGGTAGCCAGCAGAAGTTGTCTTAACATCAGGCGGCTGGTAAAAAAAAAGCCCTTGCCTTG